ACGAGATGTGGTTGCTGGGTGAGGTTACTGGAACCTTGGAGAATCCCTTTGCCACCCCCAAAAGCTCCTTCTCCACCCGCCCCTACTCCTCAAATGCCACCACTGATTGTCTGGGCTCATGGAATTATAAAGAACTCTGGGAGGGTGCTCCCCAGGGCTCAGCAGGATGGGCTGGAGAAAGATTACTCAGCAGACAGAGGAAGACTGACAGGAGGCCTTGAAGTCAGCCTCACCCACTCACGGGACCCCTCAGTGGATGGATGGATGCGCCAGGCAGGCAACGTACCAGGTACCACTGCTGGGGAAACTTGGGGTCCGTGGGCTCCTGGTACACGTCCCGTTTGGTCCGTCGCTTTGCCACCTGCTGCTCCAGCCACTGTACCTGTGAGGGAGTGAGGGAGAGATGGTGTGGCTGGAGGAACGGGGAGGGAGAGCGAGGCCTCCTGAGAACGGAAAGGGAAGGGTGGCAGCAGGAGGGGCTGGGGCCGCACTCACTTGAGGTTCCCGCTGCAGCCGGCTGTGCCGCGGGCGGTGAGGTGACAGGGACCGCTTTGTCACCGCTCGATGCCAGAAGTGGTAATAGTCGCCGAAGATCTGCAACAGAGCAGGGAGACTGAGCCGGGCTTTCCATCTGCCAGTCCCCATGGAGGCGGGGGATGGGGGTGGACAACCGGCTGCAAGGGGAGGCTCACCACGGCAGGGGGTGGTGGGCATCTGCTCCCCGCCCAGGACCCCGCAAGGAGGTGCAGGGGGCCGAGGGGGACTCACCCCCCTGGGATACACTGGTCCACTGAGCAACCTAGGCTAGAAGCCCCAGCGCAGGACAAGCCACCCATAACATGCCTACTACCCAGATGCCCCTGAGAAGACAAGCCCCAGAGTTCCTGCTCTGGGTGCTGGAACCCCTGCCCTCATTGGCCCCACGCCCTGGCGATGTCCTATGCCTCGGCCAGCAGGAGGGAAGAACACCTACCTGGCCCAGGTTGAGGAAGCCATGCTTGCGTGCCACACCGTCAGCCACGGCTGGGCCTCCAGGAATGCGCACGGCCCAGGTATTGGTGAAGACCTTCTGGCCACGGGCATCGGCCGCCAGCAGGACCAAGGCTCCTGCTGCTGCTACCACCCATAGCAACCAGGGCCTCAGCTCCATGGGGGGGACAGGTGGCCGGGACCCCGGAGCCCCTGTCTCCTTGGCCTGGTCACAGGGCCTCGGCTCCCGCGTGCCTGCTCACTGCCTGTGGCCCGGGGCTGACTGGCGGGGGCATGGGACCAAGACGGGCGGGACTGCGCGGGGAGGATGAGGGCTGCCGGTTCTGAGAGGAACAAGGGAGGAGAAGAGGGAGAGTCAGTCGCTCCCCAGCCACACACTAAAGCTGCCTTCCCACCCCACGGCTCACTCCAGGCCTGAAAGGGGCTCTGGCGGGGAGGGGTGAAAATCCAGGCCCCCAAGGTGAGCAGGATAGATGGACAGAAGGACCGCCTCCACACGCAAGAATACGGAAGTGGGATGAAGAGGACCAAGACTTGAGTCCCTCAAAATAAGAAGCAACAACTGAATAAATGCTTGCCAGAATTAAAGTCAAAAAGGTGGGTTAGGGACTTCTCTGGTGGCGCAGTGTTAAGAATCCGCCTGCCAATGCAGGGGACACGGGTTCGAGCCCTGGTCTGGGAAGATGCCGCGGAGGAACTAAGCCCGTGTGCCACAACTACTGAGCCTGCGCTCTAGAGCCCGCGAACCATAACTACTGAGCCCGCGTGTCACAACTACTGCAGCCCATGTGCCTAGAGCCCGTGCTCTACAACAAGAGAAGCCACCGCAATGAGAATCCCGCACACCGCAACGAAGAGTAGCCCCTGCTCGCCACAACTAGAGAAAGCCCGTGCGCAGCAACAAAGACCCAATGCAGCCAAATATAAATTAATTAATTAATTTTATTATTTTTTTAAAAAGGTGGGTTATAGGGACTTCCCTGGTGGCACAGTGGTTGAGAGTCCGCCTGCCGATGCAGGGGACACGGGTTCGTGCCCCGGTACGGGAAGATCCCACGTGCCGTGGAGCGGCTGGGCCCGTGAGCCATGGCCACTGAGGCTGCGCATCTGGAGCCTGTGCTCCGCAACGGGAGCGGCCACAACAGTGAGAGGCCCGTGTACCGCAAAAAAAAAAAAAAAAAAAAAACCCTCCTGCCACTGCAGGGGACAGGGGTTTGAGCCCTCGTCAGGTAAGATCCCACATGCCGCAGAGCAACTAAGCCCGTGGGCCACAACTACTAAGCCCTCGTGCCACAACTACTGAAGCTTGCACTCCTAGAGCCCAGGTTCCACAACAAGAGAAGCCACCGTAATGAGAAGCCCTTGCACCACAATGAAGAGGAGCCCCCGCTAGCCACAACTAGAGAAAGCCCGCGCACAGCAATGAAGACCCAACGCAGACAAAAATTAATTAATTAATTATTTTTTTAAAAAGTGGGTTATAGGGCTTCCCTGGTGGCGCAGTGGTTGAGAGTCCGCCTGCCGATGCAGGGGACGTGGGTTTGTGCCCCGGTCCGGGAGGATCCCACATGCCGTGGAGCGGCTGGGCCCGCGAGCCATGGCCGCTGAGCCTGCGCGTCCGGAGCCTGTGCTCCGCAATGGGAGAGACCACAACGGTGAGAGGCCCGCGTACCGTAAAAAAAAAAAAAAAAAAAAAAAAAAAAGTGGGTTATAAAGCAGTAGGTACCTATAATCCCGTTTTGTTTTTAGAAAACTATTTATACATGTATATTTACATAAAACCACAAAACATAATCTGGAAGGACACATGCTAACAATCGTTCTCTCAAGGTGGTGAGAATTATGAGTAATTGTTATTTTCTTTTGTGTCATGTATATTTTCCAAATTACCCAGGTATATTTTATAAAGGAATAAAATGTTGGCTTTTTAAAGTTTTTTAATGGGCGGTGTCTACACAGCTCACTAGCGCTTCCTAGTTCAGCAAAGGAGAACCAGCCATAGGGAGTTACCTGCAAAGACCCACAGCCCCTGGCAAGAAAGAGTGGGTAACCTAAGGTGGGATGGGGGCTTTGGGGGCTGAGCACGGGGAGGGGGGATCGCAGTGGCTTCACCCTCCCTCTTTGGCCCAGACCATCAGCAAAGTCAGGGGCTCAGGCTCTTTTTTTATACAGTTTCTTGGGAAACGCTGGGGCCACCCAGCCCTGGCCTGCAGGCCTCTAGCAGCCCCCTCGGTCGCTCCACACCCACCAGCCTTGCGTAATCTGAGCCCGGGCAGCCAGGGCAAACACTAGCTGCTGAGCCAGGAGCGCCAAGGTGAAGCTGAATCAATAGTCCGAGTGTTGTTTTTCCTCCTTCAGCAAACAGACAGCAGGACCTCTCTGCCTGGGGCCACATAACTGTCCCCACATAGGGCCCCTGGCTAGCCAGAAGCCAAGCCCCTGGGGTGGGGAGAAGCTGGGGAAGGTCCCCGTGGGGCTGCCGGAGGTGTCCCGCCTCAGTGCCAAGCTTGTTGAGCAGAGCACCTGCCTACACGGCCCCGGATGCCCCCACCACTCCCAGGGCCCAGCCCCAAAGGGGGCCACTCTGCTGGACGGCAAAATGAAGCTCCCCATCTCACCCGGGCCCCGGAGAGCTGGACAGGCGGGCTCACCACTGGGAACACTCCTTTTCCAGAGACTGCCCTCAGCCACAGTCAGCCTCCCTGCCTGCTCCTGCTGCAGTCCCACCCTGCAGGCTGGAGAGACTCAACACACAATTCCTGGAGTATTTTCAGTTTACACCAAAATAACCTGACAGCTGATGGCAGGAGGCATCCACAATGCAGCTCCTCCTCACCCTGGATGGGCAGAGTCCATAGGGTTCCCGGACAGGCCTGGAAGCCACAGCCCCATGATGCCTTGGGCGACCAAGTTCCGGAAAGCTGGTCTGAGCAATGGCTGGGCAGCCAGACATTCAGCCCTAGGGGGTGAAGGAAACCCAAGCCCCTCATTTAACAGAGGATGTGGAGCCCTAGGGGCTGAGCCAGATAGAAACAAGCCCTCTTCTCCCCTTCTTGCCACAAGAGCAGCCTCTTGGGTTCAGATGTCAAGAAAGACCATCTCCTGACCACAGTGCTGTGAGCCGTACTGGAACTCCCAAATCAAGACTGGGTTCATCTGCATCCAGCCCAAGTTCCGGGACATTGTGGATGGAGCTGCAGTTGCTTGGTGGTAAAGGTGATTATTTAATTACCTTGCAGCACCCAAAAAGAAAGCGGGCTTCAGGCACAACCAAACAATTCCCCAAGAAAGGACCAGGCTTCATCTGCTCAGCATCCCCAGCCACGGTGAGCCGTAGATATGGCTTCCACAGAGCCTGAAGCCTCCAGACAGCCCTACCTCAGCATCCTGGAGGGCGGGAGGGAGGGAGGGAGGGAGGGAGAGAGGGAGGGAGAAAGGGAGGGAAGGAGGGAGGGAGGGAGAGAGGGAGGGAGGACCCCCTCCTAAAAGAGCAGGCACTGAGAACAATGAATGAATGGGCTTCTCCCCACCCCCATCCCAGACTCTGACTCACCCTCTGAGTCCCAGTTCGGCTCAAACCTGGAGGCTTGCTGTAGTTCCAGCCTCCTGTGAGGCCCTCTCACATGGGAGTCAGCTCCAGGCTGTGGCCACAGAGAGACCTGTGGGTGCTCTTTGTGGCTGTGTTCTAGGTCAAAGCCCTTTTCTCCAGTCCCAGGAACCTCCTGACACAGACACCCACTCCGAGGCACCCGAACTGAACCTCCCCCAGGTCCAGCTGCTGTTTCCCAGGCCCTGGGGGTCTGGCGTGGACAGGGCTGCCTGGGAAACCTGGTCCCGTCTCTCTTTCCAGCAAAGAGACACCAAGCCAGGTCCTGTAACAGGCACTGAAGGCTGCGCTGAAATTCTGAATTCCAATCTTTACTCATTTTCTGTGTGATCTTAAGTCACTTCCTCTCTCTAGGCCTCAGTTTCCTAGATGGTAAAAACTGCTAGACCAGAGGTTTTCAAACTTTTTTTTAAAGCCACAGAATCTTTAAAAAATCAAATCTTATGTGGAAACCCAATATAGGATATCGTAAAACTTCGGCCACTCTGGTTGAGACGGGTCAGGCTTGGCTACTCTCCTATGCTGTGCCCACACCTGGCCAGCAGCTGCCCAGCCCTCACTAGGCCACATCACCTGGGTTCCCCTCCCACTTCCCAAGTCAGAAAGAATTCTGACACCCTCCGGTGGAGGAGGGTCTGCACCCCCAGGGGCAAGGGTCAAGAGGATGGCGGGGAGAGCAGGTACTGACCTGACAAGTGACTGCTGTAAGACCTGTCTGGCAAGCAGGCCGCCCCTCAGTCCAGCCACCCCACGGGGGCAGCAGGGGTCTCGGCCAGGCCTCCGCGGGAGGCAGCCCCAGAACCTACCTGAGCCAGCCTCCCAGCGCCCGCGGATCCCGCACCTGAGTGTCTCGCCGCTCAGGTGTGCAGGCGGGGACGAGACCCGGGCGGTGAATAATTCCCTCCACCTCGCGAACAACCGCTCCTCCCCTCCCCCGGCGGGAGCGCAGGCCCTCCCCAGCCGCGGAGTGGGCGAGCCGGCGGCGGCCCCCGAAGGACGGCCCGGAGGCGGGAGCACCCGGCGCCTCTGGAATTCTCTCGCCATCCCGCCCCCAGCGGGGGCCCCGCTGGCGCTTCCTGAGGTCAGAGGGCTTGCCCCGGCCCCAAGCGGAAAAGTACCGGCACCTACAAGGGCTGGGAGCCAAGCCGGGCCCGACGCTCTCAGGTGGGCTGCGGGGCGCCCTTCCTGCTCCCCGCGGCTTCACCCTCGGGGCCGGCCCGGGGGCCAGTTTCGAAAGCCGGGCGGGCAGCCGGGCCCGGGCTGCCTCCGCGCCAGCGACCCCGACCCTCCCCCGCCTGCGCGCCCGGGCCGCGGAGCCAGCTCCTCCGGCAGAGCGGCCCAGTCCGGCCGGCTCTCCTCGGGCCCGGCTCCCGGCGCGCTGCCTCCACCGGGCCCCGCGCCCTCGCCGCTTACCCTAGGGAGCCCGGGCGGGGAAACTTTTCCAGGCGAGCGCCGCGGCGGCTCGGGCGCCCCTCGGCCGAGCGGAGAGACCGGCGGCGGGGCCTGGGCTCGACGCGGTCCCCGCGCCGGCAGCAGCGTCACCGCGCGGAGGCGGGGAGGAGCGGCGGCGCGGCCTCGGCCGGGCCGGCGACCAGGGCAGGGCTCGGCCTCGGCCTCGGCTCCGGCTCCGGCGCGGGCGGGGGCAGCGGCCGGGCCGCGGCGGCGGCGCGGCTTGTTTACTCGGGCCGCTGTCAGCGGCTGCGGCGGCCCGGGCTCCTCCTCCTCCGCCGCCGCGCCCCCTCCCCCTCGCGGCGCCACCTCCGCGCTCCCCAGCAGCCGCCGCAGCCGTCCCGCCGCCCTGGCCCGCCGCGCCGCCCATGCCGCCCGGCCCCGGGCCCGCGTTCGGGGCCGGAGCGCCGCAGCCCCCGAGCTCCGGGCTCCGAGCGGCGGCCTTGCGGCCTTCCGGGGCGCCCACTGCCTCTGGCTCCCGGTCGGGGCAGGTAGGAAGTGGGGCCAGCGATCCCAAAGCCCTCGCGGCCGCCCGGCGCGTCGCCCAGGCCCCACTGCCCGCACCCCCGCCCCGGGCTCGGCTCTTCGCGCCGCGAGCTCCCCGGGCCAGCGGCCGCGGAGACCCGAACTCGGAACTCCTGGCAGGGGTTGGGAAGGGCTCGAGGCGTCACTCCGAGTCCAGTCTCGGCCGGATTCTGGGGAAGCTGGCCTTCTCCCCCCACTTCCCCACTCCTAAGCCACGAGTTTGGGCACGACCGAGTTAAGTGCCCTGGGATGACGCACCTGGGGTACCCCATCTGAGGTCGGGCTTCAGCGCGCCTGGGCAAACCTCCTCGTCGCCTACGGTTAGAGGACTCACGATTTTATTTGCATTTATATAGACAGGTGGATGAGCAGAACAAGTAGCCCATCCCCTTTTAATTTTTTAAAAACTTTTTTTTTTTAACTCCAACCGCCTGCCAGGCACCAGGCCAGTCATTTTATATTATCTCCTTCTCATGTACATTATTTAATCTACATAATCCTTTCAGGCTGACATTATTAATCCCATTTTACAGATAAGGAAACTGAGGTGCACAAGGTTTAAATAATTTGCCCAAGATACCACAACTAGTAGGCCTCAGAGCCTGGAAGAGATCTAGGGCTTTGGCAGAGCCTGAATCTGAGCTACTTGCAATATACCAGCCGGCTCCTCTCCCTCCCTGGGTCCCTGCCCTAGAAAACGTCTGTGCTACTTGGCCGAGGCCACCACTGCTTGAGCTGAGAGAGAAAAGAGGGGAAATGTGGCCAAAAGCTCCCCAGGCTGGGTTATTCCAAGGTCGCAGAGCAGTCTCTGCCCATCCTTTCCTGCTCGCTTTGAGATAACCTGGCAGAACAATATTATCCTGTGACCTCTTCAACACCGGTTTGGGGATAATGACAAAAACGAGCACCGAACACTGCAGAGCATGTTCTCAGAGCGAGGAGTGGTTCTCAGCTCTTTCCGTGTGTTAAATTATTTCATCCTTACCACAAACCCTGCAAGGTGGATACAATTTTCCTTTAGGGATCTTTCATGTATCACTATCTATGGAGGAGGAAACTGAGGCCCAGAGAAGTTAAGTAACATTCGTAAAGTAACTCACTAGGTGACAAGTCAACCAGCAAACCTGCGTTCAAAACCCTGCAGTACTATTTTATACTTTGCCACCTTAGACAAGTTATTTAATTCTCAGAGCCTCAATTTACCCCTCTGTAAAATGGAGATAATATTCAACTAGTGGGATAAGGTACTGTTTGGGCACCTGTACAAACAGTGCAAAAACCAGAAACTCAGGGAAGAATGTTGGGTCCTAAAAGTTGAGCCGGGGGCTTCCCTGGTGGCGCAGTGGTTGAGAGTCCGCCTGCCGATGCAGGGGACATGGGTTCGTGCCCCGGTCCGGGAGGATCCCACATGCCGCGGAGCAGCTGTGCCAGTGAGCCATGGCCGCTGAGCCTGAGCATCCGGAGCCTGCGCTCTGCAACGGGAGAGCCCACAGCGGAGAGAGTCCCGCGTATCCAAAAAAAAAAACAAAAAACAAAAGTTGAGCCGGGAGATAAGTCCAGTTGGCCCCCTCTTGGAATGGGAACTGCCCCCCACAGGGAGCAAAGACTCCTAGGGGCCACCCTGGGGTGGCCCTAACTAGCAGCATCAGCCACAGTTGGGAAAACAATACTTCTTCAGTCAGACCTAGGCAGGAAGTGAGTCACGGTTCTTCCTAAGTCTGTGAGCAAGAGATCCCTATTTAGGGGAAATAGGGACAGGGCTGGTTCCGTCTAGCCTCGGAGTCCCGCAGTGCCCTTCCCCCTTGTCCTCAGACTTACAAGAAAGGTCAACCCGGAAAGAAAGCAATCCTGTCTGCCTCTAGGTGCCCCACCCATCCTGGAGGCTGGCCCCAGGGGAGCCTCAGTGGGTCTGAGGGGGAGGAGGGGCTAGCCCTGTCTCAGACGGCTGCCACCCAGCAGAGGCACTGGAGCTTCCCAGTTTCTCCCGCCAGCCTGCCCCTCCAATCCTGTCTTTGGCATAAGGAGAATTCTTTCAACTGTTGCTCAGAGGTGCATCACTGAGGGGAGGAGAGAGGAGAGGACCGAGAGAGTGAGCCCTTGCCCCGGAGGATCTCCACCTTAGTCTTGCTCCTATTTTAGGGTTTCCCATACAACTGTACTTTATAACGATTCGGTTGTTAAAAAGAATGTGGAGGGAATTCCCAGATGGTCCCGTGGTTAAGACTCTGTGCTTCCACTGCAGGGGGCAAGGGTTCAATCCCTGGTCAGGGAGCTAAGATCCCTCATGCCATGTGGCGTGGCCAAAAAACCCCAAAAAAGCAAAAGAGAAAAAGAATGTGGAAGACACCCTCCTTGCGAAAAGCCCTCTGGAGAGAATCCCAGCTTGCCACAGCTGGTGACTGCTAGCCAACTTCTTTCTTTTTCTCCTGGAGCAAGTCCTGTGGGCAGGTTTTGTTCTCTTTATCACTCCCAACAATTTGTCTGAGGCCTTAAAAGCCAGAAGGAAATAAACTGCCTGCAGAGCCCAGGTCCACTGACTTGGGGACCTAAGAGCCCAGGGGCCTCTGGATCACAGTTATCAGTTTTACACAGCAGTTAATAGGACAGGAGGCACCACGTGACAGAAGTCTAGCAACAGACTTGTTGGGGGGTGACCTGTGGGGTGGAGCAGGGCCTGATGGGTAAGGCCTGAGGGAGAAAGGGGCTGTGACCAGTTCCCACCTTCCCAGCAGGGGGCCAGAGGAGCTGTCTAGCCAGCCAGGCCTCTCTTTATCCTTGGATTTGGGGCTAACCTGCGAGACTCCCAAGAGCAACTGTTGTCCTATGGTAAAATCCACCCAGTCACCCTTACCTCAGGCACTCCCACTGTCCCCTTGGAGTGCTCCGGGGGACCCTTTCTCTCAAAATCTCTGCCCCACTCTCAGGCACCTCAAACAAAGCCTTCGCAGCAGCACCCACACCTGGGCTTTTTCTTTTTTCTTCTTCTTTTTTTTTTTTTTTTGGCTGCACCACTCGGCATGCAGGATCTTAGTTCCCGACCAGGGATCGAACCCACGACCCCTGCAGTGGAAGCACAGAGTCTTAACCACTGGACTGCCAGGGAAGTCCCCCCACACCTGGTTTTAATCAAAATGTCTGCACCACATCCACACATGCATAGAAGAGCAGACAACAAAATTTAATTGGTATTTTCTCTAAAAGGGTGGGATTTGAGAGCTTTTTGTTGTCTTCTTTTTGCTTACCTGCATTTTCAGGAATTTCTACAATAACTTTTAGAATAAGATAATTAAAATTTTAAGTCATGCAAAACTGAATAAAGCATGCCCATACTTCACCATCTAGCTCCAGAACAGCTGGGGTCCCTCCTGAACGCTGCTGGGGCAACAGTCAGCCTCCTCCTATCCCATCACTGGGCGGGGCCCTTCCAGTTCTGGCTAAACCACTTTGGGAAAACCTCCTTTATAGGACAGGAAAACAGGGTGTCTGTGTGGGTGGGGGGAGGAGCTAGAAGTGATGTGGTGGTGATGTATCTGGTCACACTGGGACAGGATTGCAGCACGGTCAGCCCTTCTCATGTTCCCAATTACTGGGCTAGCTCCGCACTTACCTTTCACCTGCTGGCTCTGCCGCCTCCCCAAGTCACTGGTCAGCTTAATGTTTCCCTTCTGCTGGCTCTGTGTCTTCTGCCTTGCCTTCGGTGCCCAGGCAGTGCTACCCACAATTGGGCACCAAATAGGTGCTTTGGGTGCAGTCTAGTCTGGCAGACATTCATTGGGCACCTGCTGAATGCTGGGCCCTGGGACCTCAAGCTGAGTCCGTTAGAACTTGTCCTCAGGAAGCCAGCGACCACCTCTGAGACATGACAGTATCTTCCTGAAGCTTCACCCTCCCTTCTGGCCTTGCAGCTCCAACAAGCTCTGCCCTTCCTTCTCCCTCTTGATACAAAAAAGTAAAACAGTTAACATGACTTCTTGTTGAATTTTCCTATCAGTTTTGTTACTGGAACAGGATTTTGCAACCTCACACTATTGACATCTTGGGCCAGGTTATTCTTGTTCTGGGAACTGTCCTTTGCATGGTAGTATGTTTAGCAACATCCCTGGTCTCTAAACACTAGCGGCCAGTCGCACCTCACCGCCATTATGACAACCAAAAGTGTCCCCAGACATTGCCAAACGTCCCCTGGAGGGGGGCGTGTAAAATTGCCCCCAGCTGAGAACCACTGGTCCAGAGTGAGGGCTGGGAGTGGTGCAGGAGACGGTAGGTGTGCTGGGATTTCAGGCATCAGGGGTTGTCTGCTGGGAACTATGCACTGAGACAGCAGGCAGCAAGAGAGAAAATTCCCAAACCCCAAACCGCCTGGCATGGCAATGCGACAAATGGGGCCATTTAGTGTGCAGGGCAAACAATCTTATGTATCTCCACGACGCCTGAGGACATCGGTCTCAGGAACGTTAATGATAATGCTGAATTGAGGAAAGGAACAATCACATTGATCACACTCTGTTTACTGAGGTGGGGAAGTGAGTGAGCCAGCTTCGCGTTAAATATGTATTTAGAAAGCAGATCAGTGGTGGCTGGGGGCAGAGGGGCGGGGCAGGAGGAATCTCTGGGGAGTGATGGATATGTTCATTATCCTGATTGTGGTGATGATTCCATGGGTACACACAAACGTCAAAATGGATCAAGTTGTACGTTTTAAATATGTGCAGTTTATAGCGTGTCAATTATATGTCAATAAAGCTGTTTTAAAATGTATTTCATTGTTTAACGTTTTAGTGCTTGAAAGGCATTATTTTGGAAATTTACTAACATGGAGTAGCCATTTCTTGACTGTGCCAGATGAATGGGGGGAGGGGTGGTGGTCACTGCAGTACTTAAAAAGGAAACGGCAAAAAAGAAAATGATCATGGGGCTTCCCTGGTGGCGCAGTGGTTGAGAGTCCGCCTGCCGATGCAGGGGACATGGGTTCGTGCCCCGGTCCGGGAAGATCCCACATGCCGCAGAGCGGCTGGGCCCGTGAGCCATGGCCGCTGAGCCTGCGTGTCCGGAGCCTGTGCTCCGCAACGGGAGAGGCCACAACAGTGAGAGGCCCGCGTACCGCAAAAAAGAAAAAGAAAATGATCATGGGCCTAAGGAAGGAGGAAAAGGGATGCTGAGAACATTCAGCTCCGACTTCTTTCCATGAAGCCAGCGAGAGCCTGTCCGCTGGTTTAGAGGAAACACTGGCGAGTTTTTGCATTGGATGATGCTGTTCAAACTAACGTGTCTGGAAAGGTATTATCAGGGGCTTGGGAAAAAAAAAAAAAACAAATGTAGTGCTGGCTGCCAGGAAAGGAACAGATGAATCTGGAAATTACAGGCTCCTCCACTACCATTAATCCCTAAAACAAACACTCCTGGGGGAAAAGCCAGTTAATACCTGGAGGAGGGCGGGTGCTATCCCTCAGTGGGGCTGGTACAGCTCGGCAGCGGAGAGCCTTTATAGGAGCTGGGTGCACGGGAAAGTTGCCAGAATCGACCGTGCCCAGGGGGGTGCACTCAGCAGGGAGGGGTGCCAAGATGCCCAGGAGGGAGACCTGGGGGCGGCAAACAATGAGAGGCATCTCGAGGACAGTTCAAGTGCTTTTTAGCTGATGGAGACCTCCACCGAGGGTCTCAGAAGTCCAGAGTGAGGAAGACGTGCAAGGAGAGGCCTAGCATGGGGATGTGTGACAATAAAAATCTCTGTTTGTGGAGAGTTGATTGTGCACCAGGCATTTCAATCATTCCTTCCTCAGACATTGACTGGGTGTGGTGCGGGACCTCCTCCAGTGCTCCCGTTGTGAGGGAAGCAGACAGCAGGTAACTAAGCCAGTTTATAAGAGAAGTTCAGATCCTGGTAAGTACTCTGGAACAAAAATAACAGAGGGGGTTGTAGTAGTGCCTGGGGGAGGGGAGGATACTTACTGTTCCTGGGATGGTCAGGGAAGGCCTCTCCGAGGAGGTGATATTTGAGCAGAGGCTTAAGCAAGAGACAAAGGAGTGAAGATCTGGAGAGAGGGAGTCCCAGGCAGTGAGCAGAGGAAACCAGGGTGCATGGGCCTGGTGTGTGAGCTTGTGCACTTGGAGAGCAGACACTTCTCCGGAGTGCCGTGGGAGAGGGTGACAGTGGGAATAGCTGGGATGAGAGGGCTGGGCAAGGCTAGACCATGCAGCATCTGGCAGGCTGGGCTGGATGCTGAATTGAACAATGGGCAATTTGGAGGAATTTTACTAATTTGGGCCTTTTCAAAGGCCCCTCTGACTACCATGGGGAGAAGACACGTCATGGGGGGGTGAGGGTAAGAGTGGGAGCCCCACGACTATTCTGTGCAGGAGGCACCATTTGTGACCCTCCCATGTTACATGTGGGGTGAGGGGTCTGGCTTGGGGACGTCAGGGTGACTCTCATAACCACTAGGCGGATATGTGGGCTCCTGAGCAGGGAGCAGGCCTGGGAAGGATGGACGGGAGCCAGGCCACTTGTCTGCCCTGGGAAGGCAGAACCTCCTCAGGCCAAGAGCTGGCCAGGGCAGCCAGGCCTGGGGCCCCACTGCCCAACCGCTTGGGTGGGTTCAGGTGCTTCTCCCTAAATTACATCCCTGTCAGCATCTTTAGCTTCAGACTTGGCAAAAAGGGATTGCCCTGAGTTAACAGTAAAACTCCCAGAGCACTCACCGCTCATTCCCTGGCAGGCACCCTGCTATGTGCTTTCCTCTCACTGCCCCCTTTACTTCTCATAGCAACTTGAGCTGGGCACCATTGTTATTCCCATTTTACAGATGAGGAAACTGAGGCCTTGAGAGCCTGCTTGGAGTCACAGGAAGAGGAAGATCCAGGATTTGAACCTGGGGAACACACACACTTAAACCACTCAGCTTTCTGCCTCTAGAAGAGGGTGAACAAGGGCTGAATCAGATGCTGATTCCCAAGGCACCGTGATGTGGGTGGCTCAGCTGTGATTCACCTTTTACTTTTTCTTGGACAAGACTTGTTCACCTGCACTCTCCCAGTCGTAATGTTGATGTTTCTATAGGGTGTGTGCTGCAGAACCACAGAGCTGCCCTTCCCCCCATACAGTGTGCTGTTACCAGCCCAGCCCTGACACTCGCTTGAATGCTACCCCCAATCCCTGGGCAAATTACTTAACCTCTCAGGGCCTCAGTTTCCTCATCTGTAAACTGGGGTAAAAAATACCCAGCCCATCAGGTGATACCTGTAAAGTACTCACTCAGCACAGCGTCTGGTCTGCAGTGGTAGCTACTGTGATTAAATTACACCCTCCTTCCTTCTGAGGCAGGCACACTCTTTCAGTGGGCTGGCTGTGGAGTCTTCTACCTCTTCTGCATTGGCCCAAACCCAGGCGTTCGTGGATGAAATCTCTGCCCTCCCTGTGGCCCTTCTTTGGTGCCGTTAGGTGATTTTTTTTTTCCTAGGAGGAGAGCGGCCAGCCTCCTTGCATTGCTGCTGTGCCGAAAGCAGCCTTTGGTGTGGCCTGGTCCCTGGGTGGCACATGAGGTGCCTTGTAACCATTTTGCAAGCTGCCTGCTCCTTTGGGATCAGAGGTCAGCAGACGGTCCTCTGAGGCAGTGCTTCCCGACATGTTCACATCATGACACGCAGAAAATGTGGGCAGCCGCTGGGGCAAAGGGACCAGGCTGATTGAGGCTGGTGGGGTCTTGGTGGCAGCTGCCACCCCACACCCCAATGCTTGCTTGGGGACTGGAGGCTCTAGAACCCATTTCAGGCACATGAGTGGGCAGTGCTCGCTAAGGAGTGCCTGGCGGTCAGGCCACATCACTACCAAGTCCTCTCACAGAAACCTGGGCAGGGCCAGTCTTCTTAGTTCCCTGACCAGGAACGGAACCCGTGCCCCCTGCAGTGAAAGCGCACAGTCTTAACCACTGAACCGCCAGGGAAGTCCCGCGATAGGGCTCTTTATCATTGACATGGGTCTCAAATCTGAGTCCTGTACACTCCCTTCATGGGAAAGAGACCCCTGCAGCCTCCCCAATGCTGATTGAGGTGTAAATTATTTTTGTTTTATTAGGTATACTCCTTATAGTTGTCATGCAACCATCAGGCCAAAATGAGTCAAAGGTCAAAACTATACAGAGGGCTTCCCTGGTGGCTCAGCGGTTGAGAGTCCGCCTGCCGATGCAGGGGACACGGGTTCGTGCCCCGGTCCGGGAGGATCCCACATGCCACGGAGCGGCTGCGCCCATGAGCCATGGCTGCTGAGCCTGCACCCGGAGCCTGTGCTCCGCAATGGGAGAGGCCACAACAGTGAGAGGCCCGCGTACCGCAAAAAAAAAAACCCGGAAAACAAACAAACAAAAAACTATACAGAAAAATACACATAAAGCAATCTTGCTCATACCTCTGCCCCTTCTGTGCAGCCCCCTTCCACACTTGAGTACCAATTTTTTAAAAATAATTAATTTATTTTGGCTGTGCCGGGTCTTAGTCTCAGCATGTGGGATCTTTTAGTTGTAGCATGCGGGATTTTTAGTTGCTGCATGCGGACTTCTTTGTTGCAGCATTCATGTGGGGTCTACTTACCCAACCAGGGAGGAACCCAGGCCCCCTGCACTGGGAGCGTGGAGTCTTACCCACTGGACCACCAAGGAGGTCCCTTGAATACCAATTTTTATTAGATCTGATTTATCCTTCCAGTATTTCTTTCTGCAAACAAACAAACAAACAAAACCCCCCAAATTATATGTACACACACATTTATCTCTCTCTATTCTTGTACTTCCCTTTTTTTAATCAAAAGGTAGCACATTACAATTTGTTTTTTTACTTAGCAGTACATTCTGGAGAAGTTTACATAATAAAAATAAACAAGGGATTAAAAGATACACGCTATTATATATAAAATAGATAACAAACAAGGACCTAATGAATAGCACAGGGAACTATACTCAATATCTTTTAATAATGTATAATGGAAAAGAATCTAAAAAGGAATATATAGGGACTTCCCTGGCAGTCCAGTGATTAAGACTCTGTGCTTCCAATGCAGGGTATGTGGGTTCGATCCCTGGTTGGGGAACTAATATCCCACATGCTGTGTGGTACAGGCAAAAAATTTAAAAATAAATAAAAAAAATAAAA